TTTGATTCCGGTATCTAAAACTATATTTGTATCTAATGTTGACACACTTGCGTTTGCATTATTTAAACTACTCTTTCAATTTACAGCACTGATAATTTTAATCTATCAGACTGCAAAAAAAAACAATTATTTTTCAGTTTTAGCTAAAACCATGTTTATACTGCATATATTCTCATAATGAACGGCGTTTTTAAAGTACATGAATGGATGGACAGATGGTTGGCTCATAGACAAAGATATAAGCAGATATATTTGTATATATTTATAATACATTTACATTAGCCAAGAAACATATGTAGGCCAAGATCAGTGTGAGCATATTTTTCGATCGGCTGTCTGTAGGAGTAGTTTATGCACCTGTAATAAGTTATTTGTATATATCTTACGATTCTGTGATCTATATACATGTACACAACTAATCTGTCTGCTCAGACAAGACCTAGATTTTCAAGCCTTCACCTCAAGGCTATGAATCGTGTAGGTATATACATGTATTACAGTAGGATACAGTTACAAATACAGCTAGAATAGTTAAAATAAAACGTCACGTGATAGTTTTTGATTATTTAGTCCGTCTAGTTTGTTTAGACGTAGAACGTGGACGATTCGAGTGTTGATTTCAGAATCTTTGCCCAAAGCTACATAAAGGGCTATCTGTTCGAACTGTACATAGTTTTGAACTGCTAAGTTTGAGGTAAGATAGCTAATCAACTGCCAACTTTTGGGCCAACCTTATGTAGCAGAATTGTGAAATTTGACCGTCACTCTTGTAGAGTACCAAAGACCCCAAAGTGCGAAGTGCGTTTCGCAGCAGGAGGGCACACCGAGTATAATATAATATCCAATATGTCACACCTGATTTCGATATGAATGGACTGAGCTTATACAAAATTATATGATCTCATGTTTAACATGTTTGTCCAGAATCGTGTGTTCTCTGTAACATGGAACTTTTTAATCATTATTCCAGGACATTTAAACACTCACCTACAACCAAGTTCTAAATCTAGCTATATCAGTTGCCCCAAAATCGGTAAATTGAGAACAAACCATAAAATTTCGTTCATGAGTTATCGTTTGTAGAGAGTAACAAATTATCAGACGACGTTATACTCCTTAATCGCGGTTGCACAATAGACGTAGGAAGAAAATTGTAAGGAAGTGAAAAGATTGTAAAGATGTTTTCGTGTATCGTCGCTATTTTTATTTCTTAAAACGTAACTCGAAAAAGTCCTGCAATAACAAAGTATTTTAGAGACCGAGGACGTGGTTAACCAGTTATTTATATTTTTTTATATTCAAATACAAAGGTACACCAAATTTACAAGCTTATTACTAATAACAAATATATTGTAATTTATTTATCATTGTGTTGAAACTCTTGTCGGGCCGCGCTTCCTTGATATTCCACACGTACTGCAATATACCTCTGTTGGTCTTATGGAATTCTAGTAGCCATTGTGCAAAGGTTCAAGGTTCCTGTCTCTGAAACAAAGGTAAACAATTTTGTTAACATAATTTCCGGACGTCCTGTATATGAATAAGTTTGTGCGGTATTTGGCTGCCAGAATGAGCTCTATGTACACTTGCATATATATAAAGTCATTATAAGGTCCAGGTGTTCAGTTAACCGAAATGACTTTTGGAGTCAACCTTGAACTTACTTAAACAATAGAAGACATTAAACATTCAGAACCAGTATACAGTAGGTCATTACGATAGGTGGTTATTGGCGAGTATATGTAGTTCAGATCACAGCGTCAAATTCATAAAGTTTATCAAACTAACATTATATTATCAGTATATCTGCACTGAAGCTTAAGTAAGACCTGTACTGTGTGTGATATATTTTATGGGTTTAATAAAATTTGTGACAAGATGTCAAACAGCATGAAACATAAAGTCAAAATACATGTAAGAACAACATAGAAAAATGTCCAATTCAAGAAATTATGAGCACCAACCAATGTTGAAAAGTATTTTTCATAGTATGAAATATAAATACTAAAGTTCAATGAAGATATTCACAATTAAACTGTTAATCCTAATGAAGATGTTTAAAATAGAATTAAAATTTGAATCCAATGTTACATATCATGAAATTACAAAACTAAAATCAGCAATTTTTCATGCCAACGGAAATCACGTGAGGAAAATTATATTGCTTTGAATCCCAGTTCACAGGTTCCTAATTTATACCTCTTATTGAAGGTGTTTTTATATAGGGAATTACCCTCCGAAATAAGTCTTCTATAACAGTACATCCGTGACATGATAAGTTGTACTGTAAAAAACGTCACAGTGAACAGTTGATACATTTCACCTTGGTATCCTGTTGCGATTGTTTACCATCGTGCTGGATAAGTTCAAACCTGTACTATTTGCATCATATAATCTTTTCAAAGAAACAAAACTAAAATGAAAAGAAGCTACAGGCAACTGCACGACTTTACTGCCAAAGGCTAATGTTGTTGAACTATATATACGTTATATAGATGAATAAAATCTAATAATCTGGTTCAAATGATATATATATATATTTAAGTTTAAAAATGAAAAAAAAAAACACCAAAAAAACATTAAAGCAGGGCAAGTTTGAAGGATTGATGTCATAGGTGGTAAAACAATTTTATTTATCGGGTTTCTAAATGTGCAAATTCCCTTCCAAATCAACACAGAAACAAAAGGACGAGAGCAGAGATGAAGAGCTACGTGAAATTAGAAGACGGGTAATTGGTCCATACCCTAATTAGGATATTTTGTTAAATGCTGCTAAATAATGGTACTCAATTTTAATTCCTATTTAACAAAATATCCTAATTAGGGTATGGACCAATTACCCGTCTTCTGGTGCTAGGAATTAAAATTGAGTACCATTATTTTTTGCTTCATCAGCAAGATGGTGTTTTAGCAACATAAATGTTGGCTTTTAGCCTTGTTTTGAAACGTTTGAAGTACATTAAGATGAGTTTATACAATTCAAGGTTCATAAAAGTGTTACATCTTATTATAGCATTATTATTGGAAGAAGACACTCCGTTGTGTATACAGTTTCATTCCAGCTTTGTAAAATCTTCATTTGCTATTAGTTTTATATATACCTCTGTGTGTGTGACGTTTTTAACTGCTATTTTCGGTATTGTATATGTCATTAAACTCTTTTACATTTATATATTTAGTGATTCATCAACAGGAAACGTTCAAAGTAGTTCACTATAACAGGTCACACTCTAGATATTTCCCAAAGCATAAAGTAATTTTTGTAATCATATAGTTTTTACAGAATATTTGCGAATCCTGAAGGACTACAGCTGTACATGTTGATTAATAAGTATTCATTTTTGCAGTTTGTACTTTCAGTTCCAATCTATTATGAGTTTTTTCATCTACATATAAAATTTGACATGACAGACATATCAGTCCCCGACTTTAAGATTTAGTCCTGCATTAAGAGTCAAATAATAATTATAAGCTAATATATATTGAAAGTGTGATATATAATGTGAAACAAAACAGCATAACAACTTTTAGAACTCTAGAAAGGGATACAGCTTGGCTCATAATGCTTATATCTTTGAGTTAGGTGTTTAAATCAAAAGTCTATTCTTATCAATTATTTAAAATCCATCCCTGATAAATACGACAAACCGACTACATAAAATACTAACAAATCTGAGAAAAAGAATGAGTTGTTGAACCTGAAGGATTCACGTATTCTTAGTTTAATGACTACTACTAGAAGAGCAGGCTGGCCCTGGGGTATAGTTCGGGATTTCGTAGCTGGCGATACGGGTTCAAATCCGTGCGATACTACAAAATATTCCCATACTCTAAACTGTGGGAACGTTATAAGAATGACAGTATAAGGTGGGTTAATAGTAGACTGTTGATGACTAACTGCCTTCTCTCTGACCAGTGGTTCAAAATTACGGATGGCGGAAGATATCATTTTTAGCTTTGCCATAAATACAAAATATAATACAGACTACTACTAAGGTACTCATCTTTTTTTACCGTGAATAAGAATCTTTCAGCTGTGTTATTTATCTAACATGCCGAAAAGTTAAATTTCTCGTTAGGTTTTATATCACAGGATATGTTTGAGAAATTGTTTTAATAGTTGTATTTTGTTAAGTATTTCAGTGGAAATATTTAATGAGATACTCAGTATTAGGCGAGTACAAATTTTGCTGACTTATGTGAAGATTCCGTTAAAACTTTATCTTAATATGATTAAAAAACTTCAGTAGTTTTGTGGTTCGTATGGCTGTTATGTGTAAAATAAAATGCTTGGGCTACCTCCCGTTTGAATGAATAGTAGAGGTTTGACCATCACTTTTATAGCGCTCTCACGGCCCCAAATTTAGAGCATGTTTTCGCGGAAACGTGTCGCGAACCATGAAACCACTGATTGATAGCCCGAGCATGCTAACTACTAATCCACACTCGGCCCTTAGTATTGCAAGAAATGTCAGCACTCAATCAGTCACATTGTTTTTCTTATGTATTTTAGCTAAACTTGGTTAAAGTATAAAACTTTATAAAAACATTTTTGTGAAGGCGTAAAATAAATACACTCGTGCAAGAATGTGAACAAAGAATACAGTTCGATGTTTTTCCTGGGCCCTCTTAATACTTGGGTTCCTGGACCCAGAATTTAGTAATAACCGAACACGCAGATAATTTCAGATTGTATTTTGATTCGTATTTAAGTATGAAAATACATTCTCTGTGTAAGTCGTTACTATTAATACAGAAACTAATATAACAAAGAATTGATTCGTTCGTTATTTCTCGTGCTTGATAATTCCTACAAATGCTCAAGCTTAAAGCTTTAGGAATGGCCTTTCAGACGATTCTGATTTAACATTTACATAATTATAAATAATTTTCTTGGATTATACTGCACTTTTTTGGGAAAAAATGTTTAAGTTAACCTGCCGTGAATAATCATAATTGAGTAGTAAAAAGTAATATTTCTGTACACATGACAGAACCGAGGTCGACTGGCGGAGAAGAGGATTCTGGGAACGACTAATCAGAATGGACTGGTTTCTCCCTCCACCTGCTTGGAAAATACTACAGACGAACAAATGTACGAACGGGAAGAGGAAAATAGTGGTTACAGTGATAGTGTAAAGGATCTGGTCCAGAAAGCTAAATCAAATCACCAGGGGGCTCTGACGACAATGGATACAGTGCGTAAACAAATCCATGGGGAAAGGTAAATATAATATCTACTTTTTTTACTTCAGAAATCCTAGTTCCATAATGGAATACTATAGAGTGAATTGTCTTTTCAGTGATACATATACGTACATATTCATTAACTTTAATTATATGTTGCGCGCATTCATACTCTCTATCGGCTATTTTTAATTTGACATTTACAGTACTTATGAGGCTGTTCTTAATTAAATACTTAAGTTTGGGCGAATTCAAGTTTAGTAACACCTGTATGTATATATATGCGAAGTTTTCATTATCTTCAAAGTTCGAATACTGTTATAGTTCTAATTTATACGTCTTTCAAGAAGTTTTATGTTATTGTAGACTGGGGATAAAAATATACGAGTTCACCTAAATACTTCGTTATTTACTGAGACATAAGAATCAAATTGACCACTAACTGTTTTTTTAAAAATCGGCTTCACCCGATACAGTTACTATTTCGCGATAAATCCTAAATCTCCGATTTCACAATTAAAGGCATATTTTATTTTGTAAAATATTATAAAGTCTATTGATGCCTTGGGAGTTGTAAACACGATGATTTGTTTACAACTACAGAGCGAAGGAAATTCATTATACATTTATTCGTCCGAAATGTTGACCATACTTTCTTTCTCTATCCATTCAAAAAAATATGGGCGGCTAGCGTAGATAGCCCACGAGTGGTTTTGCGCAAATATCGGAAAACAAACAAACAAAATCCATATTAGATTACATTTGATAGCAAACCTATACGTTAAACCGAGGGCTGCATGTTTCAGCATTACAGAGTTTTGTCAGTTCAGTGAGTTTTACTTTAACCGAGAGAGATTTGTATTATGTAGATTGATATTTATACATTTACCTCTCTACTCTTTATGGATGGTTGCATAAACAAAACAAAATTATATCAGTTTACAATGTGAGTTCAGTTTATTCTCAGATTTCCATCTCTAAATTTATGAACTTTGTCGTATACCTTACTGATTACAGAAAAGCCATTTCTGAACAGTACAGTGTACCCCGAAAATGATTCATTCATATTTGCTTCGATTTTCTTTTATACATTAAAAAAAATTAAAGCCAGAATTAATGCTTTAGTGAAAGAAGAAGAATTATTATAATAATGTAATAGTTGAAGACTGAAACTGGATAAGCAGTTTAGAAAACCTGAAGAATAAAATTTCAGTATCAGTTCTACCATACAGTGGAAGACTGAAACTATGCACTCAGTATTAGAAAAACTGGTAAATAAATGTTAATATTAGCTCTACCAGTATATAAAATACTAATGCAAGACTAAAACAATGCAAGTAGTTTAGGAAACTTTAATAATACGTTTCAGTATCAGTTGTGCCCGGCATGGCCAGGTGGTTAAGGCACTCGACTCGCAATCTGAGGGTCGCGGGTTCGAATCCCTGTCACAGCTCGCCCTCTCAGCCGTGGGGGCGTTATAATGTGACGATCAATCCCACTATTCGTTGATAAAAGAGTAGCCCAAGAGTTGGCGGTCGGTGGTGATGACTAGCTGCCTTCCCTCTAGTCTTACACTGTTAAGTTAGGGACGGCTAGAGCAGATATCCCTCGTGTAGCTTTGCGCGAAATTCAAAAACAAACAGTATCAGTTCTACCGGACAGTGGATGACTGAGACCATGCGAGTAGTTTAGGAAACCTGAAAAATAGGTTTCAGTATCAGTTCCACTAGTATAAATCCGCTTTAGAAACGTCGTTTACGTGTGTTTGTGTATCAAACATTTAAACGGAAGAACTACAACAGTTAAAAGTAGCGAATAATAATCAGCACTGTAAGACAATGAAGAGAACTTTTTGACCAAATTTGTGCAATGAATAAGACTAATAGAAATTGCATTAGGTTTAAAAATTACAAAGCATAACTGCATTAATAGCATCCAAATAAAGCTGGGAATATTCCTTCTCACCTGTTAGTTAACATAATTTCATCCAAATAGAGTTGGGAATATTCCTTCTCACCAGTTAGTTAACAGAATAGCATCCAAATAGAATTGGGAATATTCCTTCTCGCCAGGTAGTTAACATAATAGCATCCAAATAGAATTGGGAATATTTTTTCTCACCAGTTAGTTAACAGAATAGCATCCAAATATAGCTGGGAATATTCCTTCTCACCTGTTAGTTAACATAATTTCATCCAAATAGAGTTGGGAATATTCTTTCTCACCAGTTAGTTAACAGAATAGCATCCAAATAGAGTTGGGAATATTCCTTCTCGCCAGGTAGTTAACATAATAGCATCCAAATAGAATTGAGAATATTCCTTCTCACCAGTTAGTTAATAGAATAGCATCCAAATAGAGTTGGGAATATTCCTTCTCACCAGGTAGTTAGCATAATAGCATCCAAATAGAATTGGGAATATTTCTCACCAGTTAGTTAACAGAATAGCATCCAAATAGAGTTGGAAATATTCCTTCTCACCAAGTAGTTAACAGAATAGCATCCAAATTGAGTTGGGAATATTCCTTCTCACCAGTTATTTAACACATTACCATCCAAATAGAGTTGGGAATATTCCATCTCACTAGTTAGTTAACAAACTGCAAGTGAAAAACCACCATGAAAATAACAGATAATGTGATAAGCTCCCAACTTTCCGGTCAGTTTTGGGCATGGTGGTTACTCTTTGAAACTATATTAAATAAGCATTCTGGTTATCAAAATATTGCTAAAAATATAATAAAGAACTATAGAACCCTCCAATAATAGTTTTATGTCTATCAATGTGACACCCAGCCACCACCCATAATTATATCACAATAGAGTTATAATACCCACTAATATAGTTGGATGACAACACACCCATGGTCACCCATAATTATATTAATTAAAAAAATGCTAGTCGGGCAGACTGTGCTATATTACATCCGCATCTTGGAAGATGTTTTTTTCAGGCCAGATTCCTTACATAAACATGAGGATTGTAAATTACCTACGTGTTTTTCTTGGCGGTTATAAGCGATATCTTTCTTAAAAGCACTAACGTTGTTTGAGTGCTACTACCCCAGGTATTTTTTTATTTCCAAAAAAATACAAAACACATTCAAAATATTTTAATTTAATGATGTGTGAAGTAAGGCTACGTCTTTCACAAAAATTAGGTTTTGCTGTTACCGCCATAAATACTGTAGTACCAAACTCAATGACATTTCACTCTTTAAATGACACGATAGTTCCATAGTCGAGATACAAAACAAGGACTGAACGGTCCAACACATGTGTCCATTAGAAATAACGTGAGCATTGGGCCAATAAAAACGAATTGGTGAATGTAATTATCAGCCTTACCGTGGTAGAAACTAAGGTTGTTGTTGCTATTTTTATTATTATTATTATTTTGCAACATAGAAATAGCCCAGATTTACCTTTAGGATTTTGCTATTTTTGATTTTGGAAGTATGTTTACAAAACAACAAAAGTTAAGCTTGTCATCTTAAAGTACACGTTAAATTGGTTTTTAGTTTCATAACCTCTGTGTATCTATATATCTTTCTTCCTTTATATAGCTTTTATATACTCATCCAACCTCTCTGTATGTCTAGTCCTAGTTTTGCTTTTTATATTTCTACCCATGAATCTGTTAACTGGGTGAAATAAATTTATACATGCTACAACATTAATCTGTGCATATGCTACATTCTTTTTACTGATTTATACTTCTTAAGTGGTTTGACAGAATACTGATAGGATAACATAATATTATTTTTTAGAAACGCTTTTTTTGTGCGATAATGAAGTTTTTCGAATTCCTCATTTTTTTAGACGTTACCTATTTCTATAATAGATATAATATCGAATAAAAATAAATTTTAAATCACTCCAACGAAATGTAAACTATAATGAAAACAAAAATTTCTCACACGATTTCCACTTGTATATGAAACGTTTTCATGGAATATTATACTACTTGCAACTGTGTGTATGGGGAAATTTATTTCTAGGTTTTATATTAATAGTTTTTAATTTTATATTTCTTTAGCTATACCTAAACAGTGACGCTTAATGTCATCAAACAGGCTTTCAGTAGTGTAATCTTTCGTTAAGACACTTCAAATGAAGTTGGACTTCTAACAACACACTTTTTGTTTCAATATGTGTGTGTGTGTGTATATATATATATATATATATATATATATATACA